GAATGAAACTTTAACAGTAGCCGAGCCTTTTGTATGGTTTGTAGACGTGTTAATCATTTGTATTTTTAGACTTGTTTATCAAACTTATCTTCATCGGAATGTTTGATTTTAATATCTTTTGTAGTTGAAGCTTTATGCGGAAAATTAATTGTGTGGAACAAAAATGTTGATTACGACAATGCATTTCCGTAATTACATTTTAAACGAAAAATGGTGTAACTAAATCCAAAACGCTTCTGAATTTATCTTTTTCTATATGGCTATAGTTACCAAGTTGAAAGATTTTGGTATTTTTTTGAGGATGCTAAGGGATATTTATTCATAAGAGCATGCGGTATAATTGGCGCTTTATCAGTGGTTTTAATGTAGGCATTTTACGAGTCGAGTCATTTTATCCTTTGAACGTTGGTTTTTTTAGCAATAATTGGATATATCAATTTACTTCCCGGATAATTCAGTGCATTTAATATGTTGCGTTTTATGAGTCACGAGCTTGCGATCCAATGTCATACATGAAATTTCGAAACTCCACAAAATTAAATTTACAATGGTTATGCGATTTATACATGTCATCAACATTTGTAGGTGTTTCGCGTTTGTTAGTGATTTTTATACATATATTTCTTTACATATATTAGTTATAGCCATTAACATTCCATTTGAAGTGCCTAGCTGTCATCGAAACATGCCCTGTTTGAACATGCTCAGTTAATTTATACGTTTCCCGAAATTAAAATGTCTCTGCTATACTTATTTGATATCGTTCATCATTGAAAAAATAGTTTGACTGCCGATTCGTTCAATTTCTGTTTATTGTATTTTATAAAGAGGTTGTCTGAGTGTAATTAAACTATTTTTGTATTCCTTATAACAATAGACAGTTTATTCATGTAATTATTTGGCTAGATCGTTATATCAAATTCGAAGTTTCAAAGAAATTTGCGCTGGAGTAAATTTTGTTGATATTGTAGCTGTATTTTTCGCGAACGCTTGATTTCTATTTAGCATTCAAGCCACTTTACCGTTTTGTAAGATTATTAAGAAAGTAACAGACGCTTTGGGCAGTGAACTTCGAACACTTCATTTGTTATAATTCATATTAATATGATCTTCAAAATACATTTTCCTTAATTTAATCTAAAAATCTTTGTTGTTAAGGAATGCATTGTGATGGCATTTATCACTGGAGAAACAGTGAAATTTATGCTATGAAATTTGCGATTGCATCACTAAATCCATACTATATCCATATAGTATGGAAATTTCCTTTTCTGTATATTATTAGGCTTGTAATCATCTCGCCTTCGGCGACTAATTAGGGACCTTTAGCAAATAGGTGACGGCAACGCGACGTCGACGGCCGAAATAAACTTATTCGAATAAGTAACTTTAAGATCAACATGTCTTGTATTAACCGTTGTATGAATTTATTGCAATTTAAGAAGGTTAAGACAGAGGTTTATAGTTGAGAAGACTTCTACTAAGCCAACTTGGCGAGGACGACTTCTCTCGGCTTGAAAGGCGGACGTTGTGTACAAAACGTGAAAATCTTTGGTTTGCTGTTGTAAACAGAGCGAGGACGACGTCTAAAATAATTATGCATTTTCTTTCTACACTGTCATAAATTTCATTGTATTAATAGCTGTCGCCGTCCTGCTAACTAAAGTCCCTATTGTTAATTCAGGCAACTTAACCGTTTTGTTAAATTATTAAGAAAGTAATAGATGCTTTGGGCAATGAACTTCGAACACTGTAATTGTTAATTCATACTATCATCTTCAAAATACATCGTCCTTAATTCAATCTAAAAATCTTTGTTGTTAAATAAAGCGTTATGATGGCATTTATCACTGGAAGAAGGTGAAATTCATGCAATAGAATTTGCGGTTGCATCACTAAATGGATACTATATATGCGTATAGTATGGAAATTGGATTTAGTATGATAATTGGATTTCCATTCTATTTTCAACTAAATCCTTACTATTTCGACAGTAAGGATTTTTAAATACATTTTCAATGTTTGATTCATATGGACCAGGAGCGAGGGGTATTCGGCGAAATATTTTAATATTAAAATCCAATTGATAATCTTTATTCTTAATCACACAAAAAAGTATAGAAGATATGACAATCACAATATACCACCTTTACCCCAATATGGCGCCATCTTGACGCTCATTACGAGTAACATCAAAATCACAACAGCCCGATATTTATTGACGTTTTTAGCGCGGATTTTGCTTTAGTAAACCTATCTTGTAATTATTTTTGAAAAAATATTGTGTACAATTCTGATCCACAATTCTTTACATATCTTTCTTTGAGAACATTCATTGATAAAGGATTTTTTTTCAAGATCCAGAAATGATTTTTCTTTTAATTTCGGATATGAAATGTAAAATGCATTAAAGAAATAAATTATCAGTTAAAAACGGTGGTCACCGATCTTTTTAGGGAATTGTGGCATTAAAACGTGAAATACAAGTAAATAAATATACTACAGACACAGGGAACCCTAGCTACACTTTTGTGTGCCTTTTTTGAAAACATTGATTTTAACGTAATTCTTTGCACGACTGTAACCAAAGATGTTTTGAAGTAACATAAAATTGTCATAAAATGATTTTTTTAAACGGTACGTATAAAACACCGCAGAAAAACGTCTGCGCATGCGTCAACATTACTGAAATCTGTATTGGGAACGTGTCGATGTTTTGCCTTTTGTATAAAATTGCAAGCGGAATAATGAACGTGACAACCCAAAAACTAGAAATAATTAGAGTCTACACATGCAAGAAGTAGTATTATGCAAGAAAATAAACCAAAGGTGACTGTCGATAAATTTATTGTATAAAACGTTCTTTAACTGAACAATACAAAGATATTTTTCGTAGGTTCATATGATCCACATTTTTGTCGATAACTTTTTTTGCGTAGCATGTATAATTTTTGCGTTGACTATATTTAAAGGTAATAATCGTACTCTACAATTAAATCGTGTGCAAATGCTTAACTATTCTATAGTTTTCTTAACTTTTGTGCTTAAGTTCGGTATTCGACAATTTTTCAAGAAATGTTCGCACGCCTCCCGGTCTTAAACGATATTTTCTTATTTAAATTCTGTTTCTGTTTAGATTTTAAATGTTAGAAAACTTTTTATTAATGTCTAAACTACTCGTCTAGTGTATTTTTTGTTTGTTTCAATTATCTTATATAATTAAATAGCCATGGTTTTTTTTATAGTTTTGCATTTAAATTCCTCGTCATCTTTTTTGTTCCCACGCATGCGCAGACGTTTTTCCGCGGTGTTTACGTATAATGGATGAAAGTTATAAAATGTGCGCAGTAAAAGAGCGCAATGCAAAACTGCGGAATTACCTTAACCGTTTTGTAAAATTATTAAGAAAGTAACAGATGCTTTGGGCAATGAACTTCGAACACTTTAGTCGTTAATTCCTATTATCATCTTCAAAATACATTATAATTGTCCTTAATTAATGTTTTTGTTAAGATAAGCATTGTGATGGCATTTATCGCTGGAAAAATTGCGATTGCATCACTAAATCCATACTATTTTCATACTATTTTCAACTAAGTTCCATATACTATTTCCATATACTGTAGTAGGGATTTTGAAAAACATTTCCAATGTATCATTCAGAGACCCGGAGCGAGGGGTATTCTGCGAAATATTAATCCAAGTGATGATCTGCAATATACAGTATCTTCGTGAATGCGATGTTTTGTTTTTTGATGTCGCGTCTTTAAAATTACACGTCGTTTGGAGTGTTGATAGTAACATCTTTCAAAATTTGCTTCAAAATTTTCAAGAACCAAGAATTTCGAAAATGCTATTCAAATTGACGATTCTGCAAACTTTCCAATTACTTCAAAAATGTTCAAGTAAGTTTTCGTGATTTGTTTTCTTTGAAAAACTAGTTTTTGAACTGCATTTAGAAGGTTGAGCTTTTGTTTATAGCATTCTTGCTCCTGTTTTACTCATCAAATTAAAAAATAAACACCTCAAATTGCTCGCAAGTTTGCTGGTTTACTCTTTTACATCTTCTACCGTTTTATACTCGAGTCATGCAGTGGGCGCCTTTGACCTAGTGTGTTTCCGTAGTGTGTTTTTTATTCAAAAATCGGATTTTGCTTCGTCCTAAACATATGTAGACGAGGAAAATACATCTTTTTACCGTGTAATTAACAAGCTTTCGTTGTAGCGATGCAACTACCTGAAAAATACAAGGGGAACTTCAATTTCGAACTCTGTAATCCGCTTTCAGATTTTTCGTGTTCTCGTGACCTTATTTGGTAAAAGCACACGTCATTAAATTGTCATATAATACTATATAATATATAGTTTGATTAATCTACTAGCTACTTAACGGTGTATTGCGTAGTTTAAAACTTTATTAAAGACACTATAGCCCCATCAATAGAAGCTGGTTTCAGGGGGGCAGGGGCGTCCCGACTGTTCATATGAAAAAAACATTGACAACTCTACAAGACATATAACTAGAATAACAAAAAAACCTAACAATAATAAAATAACAAACAAATAATCATTAGAAATAACAAATAATCATCATTAAACATCTTAAAGTGCCTATATCACTTGTGGGATCTTAATTGATTTGAAAAGAGCGTAAAAAGTTAGTTAATAAGGTCAGAAGATTTTTTGATTTAGTGCAATAGTTTTGAGGATATAGGCCTTTAAACAACGGACTGTTCCTGAGTTCCATCCTCCTGGGCTCTAAACACGGCTATTGAATTTGGCCTTTTTCCAAACGGTCCATTGTGCATAGGAGCCTGGGACTCAGGAACTGTAGGTAGTTTAGAGGTCTGTATCTTCGAAATTATTGCACTCAATCAAAAAAATATTTTGAACTTATTAACTTACTTTTTACGCTCTTTTCAAATCCATAAAGGTCCCACAAGTGATATAGGCACTTTAATGCTTTATTTTCACATCTAAGGCATATATTCTTTTTTTAGACTTTGGATGACTTAACTGATAGCAGGTAGAGTGTTGTTATGCAATGTTCAGCAGTATATCAATTTAATGTTATTGACTTTTTCAATTCGTAGCTGATACTAAGTGCCATTATATTGTGCCTCTGCTACATTCATAATTGTCATTGTTATTGAGTTTCACCCTAACCTTTGATCTGCCCTTAATCACGCACACCATTATTCAATTTCTTTATGCTTTTCCAGGGTTCTCTGCGCTCTTGTAAACTCTTTCGTTCCTGAAACATTCACCACTGAAGTCCTGTTAAATGACAGGTAAATATCATACAACACATGATGTCACCATGCATGATTACATGTTTGGGGTATATACTACAGTATATGACGGTAATGCTATCAAGGTTTTGCATGGCAATAATAGAGAACGGCAATGCGTTTTCACTTCTGGATGAGACACTGATTTCAGATAAGTTATGGTGTTAACTATGGTGATTATAGAATCCGTTGCATCCTGCATATATTTTCGTGTATGCCGGGCTTATTTCTGTAATTATTTGGGAAATTTAAAGACTTATTTACGTTTCTGTTACCATATTGATATTTATTAATAATTATATAATATTTCCATAAAGGTCATATAGTGATTGATATTTATAAATTATCACGTAATATTTGCATAAAGTCATAGGCCTACTGATTGATATTTATTAATAATTAAGTAATATTTACATAAAGGTGATAGTGATTGATATTTATTAAACAATTGCTTTGCCTCCATGTGGTGACCAAAATGTTTCAGAGAGTGAGTATACTAGGAAGCGTGCAATTAAATTGTAAAGCGTTTTTATCATGATATTTGCGAGATCGCACCGAATATCTTTAATTAATTTTGTTTTTATACCTTTTTAGGTGGACAGTGAACTTAGCTCTCCAGACCGCAAACGAGTTCTTTAAATCTCCTAGCTCCTTTGATGCGTCAGATCTTGCTCAGGTATTTCTTATCAGTTCGCTCTACGCTACAGCCTAGAGCCGTAGACAGTCGAGTGGAATGGACTGGAAAGGCTAACGTAAAAAGCTGTCGTTATTCGTGACATCTGCGTTGTGAATGAGCTATAATCCTCATAACTAACCCTGTGGCTTAAAGAGATCATGTTTTACGTAGCGCAAACAACATGTTTACGAAACTAAAACATAAATTGTAGTCGTTTACTTTAGCTTACGATTGGCATTTCCATAGCGCACCAAATATTACGCTTACCTAATTAGCCTACATACTTAGCCTATAGATTATGTTATCTTTACAACAATGGGTGATTCCAGCTAAATTTTGATCAAGGCAAGAAGAATAAAATCCAACACCACAGCTACAATCCTGGTCGAAAATATTGACGCACTTGACACTGACTGTGCGAAATTTGACTCCCACTTCAATAACAAGCATAGCAACCCCCCTTTCCCCGCTCAATGTTGTCTGTAGTGTGTTATATGTCCAAGGTTTTACACAACATTGATAAGGGGGATAGGGGGTGTTTGGACATGAAATTTTGCATAAAATTGATAAGTATTTATATGGTAATCAGAAATGAAGTAAAGATTATGCTATTTCGACTAAGTGCGCCAAGGATATAATTTGACCAGGATTGTCTGCATGAATGTGCATTATCTTACATTTTTATTTTTATTTCATCAAAATACATCGTTAATCCTTAAATCGTTAGTAAACCTTTAGTAATATTTTGCGTGTTAATAACGTGCGTCTAAATAAATAATAAACATTTATAATATAATAATAATAATAAAATATAATAAATAAATAATGACATATTAAAGTAGCTACGCTATTTCAAACATATATCCTTTTTTAGAATTTTCACTTTAATCGTACTCAATCTAACATGAATTATGGGCGTGTGCACATTTTGAAAAGTATAATCAGATGGAAACAAGTATTTAAGCCGTAATTTGTGGTCTTGTATATATTTCACTAGTTACATTTGACGACAGAATACTACGTGAACAATGCTTTGCTAAGTTTGTTTTAGATTGCAAGTTATAACTAAATCGCATTAGTCATTGACGTAATAAGCACTTATACACAACCTATAATGTTTCACGCCCAGATATGCATAACATAAAGTCATAGGTCCATACATTACTCCATCAAAAAATTCATTGTAAATCTATTAAATCTTAATATTTGCAAATAATATAACGATCTTTGATAATGATATTTAATGGTCAACTTATTTGCTTCGAAATAAATAAATTATAACTATATCTTGCATGTTTTTGAACAGTGCTCCCCATTTTCCTAAAGAATTCAGTGAGATAGTCACGGAATTTAAGCTAGATTTGTGGAGTACTGTTCTTAATTTTGCAATAATGACCTAAATAAGATTTAATAAATGAATAAATGCATTTATTCAAGTAATGCAAACCACTTTGTGTATCCGAAAACAAAAATTTCTGCATCCTTGGCAAATAATTAGGAAATATCAAGGGAACACTGTTTGTAATCTTGCGTTGCTGCACCATTGGAGTCACGCTGTGAAGACGTGTAATTGTACTTAGCATTTAATCTACTTGTTGACAGCAAGCTAATTGCCTATTTGCGAAAACGGCTACACCTATTTTGATCTATCTAATTATCGAAATGCATATTATTCAATTTTATTTTCTAGCCAGCCTCACTTAATATACGCGTACGGGATTATCATGATTCATAGTAACACCCCCCCCCCACATATGACGTCATAATTATCAACATTACGACGCGCACGCTAGGTTTTCAATAACTCCCAACGAAATCATCTAGAACACGCCTCCCAATATACGTAGAAAACACGTAAATAATGTTTCGGTACATTCTGAGTCAAAATTATATATGCACATAAATTTTAGTTTCATTTTTATATTCGGACAATCCTGGTCAAAAATATTGGCGCACTTGACACTGACTGTGCGAAATGTGACTCCCACTTCAATAACAAGTATAGCAACCCCCCTTTCCCCCGCTCAATGTTGTCTGTAGTGTGTTATATGTCCAAGGTGTTACACAACCTTGATAAGGGGGATAGGGGGTGTTTGGACATGAAATTTTGCATAAAATTGACAAGTATTTATATGGTAATCAGAAATGAAGTAAAGGTTATGCTATTTCGACTAAGTGCGCCATGGATATTTGACCAGGATTGTAGAAAGAGCTTCTTAGAATGAATGTGTGCAGTGTCTTTGATTTCATATCTAGTTAAAATAGCCGTGGCTAGAATGAATGTGTGCAGTGTCTTTGATTTCATATCTAGTTAAAATAGCCATGATAACTACACGTACCACAAATCAGCTATTGTTATTTAAGATATTGTCGAAGCCAGCGTCAGAAAATAAACCATGTAATTCGAAAGCAAATGTTTGTGGGGGTTTTATTATTAGATTATAAAAGGCTAATTTTTCAGCAATCAAGCTACGAAACGATTATTAATTCATTGATGTGAAGCTTTCCGTTTTACAGGAACTTCGTAGCATGTTGTATTACCAACAGCAATGCGCCAAACCATGGTGTTTGCAGCCCAATCCCAACTTGTGTTGATTCGTAAACTAAACGATTTTTTTAAATTTTATTTCAAGGGGGATATTATGTCTGTTTGTTCATATTTCGCATTTTTCTTCATGTGTGGTTACAAACTAAGGCAATATCAAGCTGTGCTGAAGAGAATGGTAATGTAGAAAAATTATGGAAACCTCTAAAGGCACGTTTACACTTGCAATTTGCTGCGATTTTTTGTGAAATTTTCTCTTTTTAATGTATGCGAACGAGTAGACGACTAAAATGATTTATGATATGTTTACCCTCATCTCAACATTCATATCTTATCCACTCGCTCACATCCATTAGAAGAAGAAAGAAAATCACACCTATAAAATCACAGCAAAAATTGCAAGGATAAACGAGATTTTGATGAGTGACGACTGTACTGTTTTGTTTGTACAGCCATATATGCAATAAAATAATGCACCACCCAGTGACTCAAAATTTTGAGTAGAATTACTAAAATGTATTAGTAAATTTAGTAGAAATCCTCTGAGTAAAAAAAGATGAGTATATTTTTTGAGTCAACATTTTTGCAGTGTATAGTTGTCCAAGCCTCAATGCATGCATTACAGTTCCATTAAATATCAGATGCCATTTTATTAAACAATATTTGTCACGTCTCTCTTTGTTAAATGAGTGGACACAATTGGTTCTATTTAATATCTTTAGAAAATATTTAGACTTAGAAAATATTAGACTATGCATGTTTATGTTTTAGGACGAATTATTGTTATTAAAATTGGGAATCAAAGATGATGTAGACCAAATTGGACAGAAGGACAAAAACAGAAAATTGGTTTTGGAAGAAGCACTTGCAGACTACGAACTCCGTATGTGTTTCTTCGTTCAGGAGGGGGAGGGTGGATGAGGCTTTACTGGCCTGGTCAGTTTTCACTCTGGACTCCAGATGTGTGGAAATGGTCGTGGGGTTTTTCCAAGCTGTCAAGGGAATATTGACAGGGTGCGGTAGGGTACATGAAAGAATAATAGTTTACGACCCCGTGCTTCAGTGTTAGGTGTAGTTAAGTACATATTATGATTTAAGTATACAGGGTGTATCAAAATAAACGCAATTCATCTTTTGTGCTTAATAACTTTCGAAACACTATTTCTATAGTTAAACGCTTGTAGGCTTACTTCAAAGCCTGTTCTTTTCTCTTTCAAACAAACTATTATCCTTGTCTCCAATGTTAGTAATAATTGCACAAGAAAAGATTTAGTAAAACCTATCATTTTTAGTTGCTGTTTAATTATGCAAGTTTACTATGATATTGTTTAGTCGGTTTAAATGTTAGAATTTTCTTCTTTAAACTTTAATGTTGTCGTCACTACATCTGGAAGACCACGTAAGAACAAATTAAAAGTATTTTAAAAGAGACCAGGTTGTTTGAAAATCATAAACGAATAATGCTAAAAATCGTCAAAACATTCTGGTGTCTGAGCCAGAGTGTCATCGAATTGCGATGTAATGTAAACAGAAATTATAGCAAGTTGATGTCAGCTTAGATGGTCCAAGCCAAAATTATATCGCATTTGAAGTTTCAAACTGAGTTAAAAATAGTGGAAGAAAAGCCGTAATTATACTTATTGTTACAATCCATTTAATAAAATGCAACATTTTTTTGTTTTAATGAAAAAATCAGTTATTTTTATGAGAACGATTTGTTATTCCATCTCAATTTTTTTAATCTCCAATCGCAATAACGTAAAGTATTATTACCCGCGAACCAATGAGTCAAATTTAAGAAACAACCCACTGTCAGAAAGCTGAATGGCTACGCTTTAAAATGAAGGTAAACTTTAACGTTTTCGTCTATTATTTGTTTAGCAATTTACATTTCAGTCGAGGATTGCGCTTTTTTTGATACACCCTGTATTTATATGCATAAATAAATTATTATGCGATAACATCATGCAAGTTATCAAACGTTATGAAATACTCGCATGCATGCGCTTTGTTGATTGTGTTCTTGTTAACATTGTTTTCTCTATGTTAAAATATTTTTGGAAAGTACGTTTGAATTTTTTGAAAGTATTTTATTTATATATGAGTGATTTATTCTGTTTATTTATTAGAAATACGCGATTTGGAAAGTCATTATGATCTTACTGAATGCTCGACGTGGATGAAGAATATAACAGCAATACAAAATAAAGTAAATCTTTATATACCTTCCTTAACCAATAATAGCTCGAAAGAGTTTCATTATCCTAAACCTTTCAGGCTGGGAATTAGGAATTTTTCTGGCCTATAATTACTTTCAAATGTTTTTCAAAAATTGTAGATCATGACCTCCTTTTTTAATATTCCTTAAGATGACTCGATATAGTTTTTTAAAAAATGGAGAATTCACAATTTTAATCCGTGTTTTTGGAGAATTAGTACTTGTTGAAAAATGTATCTTAATTAATTATTAATAATGTAAAACAGCATGTAAATAATTTGAATTTTTTAACGAAATTTACGGAGCTGCCCTTGCTTGGCAACAATCATGTTTCAAAATTACGGATAATTTGACTATAAAGTAATTTAACTCGTAAACGACATCGGTGTCCCGCAATTTTTATTTCATGAAATGACTTCTGTTAGTATACTCAATTATTTTGACAACTTTAAAAAATTCTATAATATGCCAAAAAGGTTTATATTAGGTAAATGTGATTATTCATGCTAACTTTTTTGGCTCAACAGATTTTTTTTTGAATTGTCAAAATAATTGAGTATAATGAAGGAAATCATTTTATGGAATAAAAGTTGGGGATCACCGATGTCATTAACTTACTTTAATTTAAAGCCATAATTTCCGCCATCTTCAAACGTCATTGTTGCCATGGAGACACTAGTTCGAACCCTTTAAATGATGTTTTACATCAATAAGGTACTTCTTGTTCTTCAACAAGTAATAATTGTCCAAAAATACGGATCTACATCGTGAATTTTCCATTTTTTGAAAAAAACTGTATTGAGCCACCTTAAATCGTATAACGTTTTGCAATAACAGTTATTTTGGCATGTTTAATTTTGTGTGTTTCTTTCCCTGCCAGATAAGTTATCTGACAGGGATTTCCAGTGTTCAAAACTGAATGAAAAGATGGCCTACAAATTATATTTCCTTGGAACTGCAGGCCGCTAATTTTTGACCTGCAAAACTGCTTTTTTGCACGATGATTTGTCATTTGTTGGAGGTTAATTTGCGTCCTAAATTATACTAACGTATACTATTTTGTGATGCAAGTTGATATTTAATACCATGTTTCTGCATGTATAGCATGTTTTTATTCTTGTTTATCAATGTTTATTTTCAAAGGTCCGTGCTATTGTGTCGAAAAGAATAAAAGACAAGTTTGACATCATCAGGGTACCAAGGTACTCATAAATTGCTCCTATGAAATATATATTTTTCATTGAACGAACTAACTACCTGAGACAAAAAAAACCCGAAATATCTATTTTTATTTTTTTATTTGTGCATACCAAAAATAACTCGTTTTCAAACCGCGATAACTCTTCTAATATGTGGGTTCCCGGTTTCCCGACCCTACCTAGCTTTTGGACGCCGAAATCCCGACCCTAAACTTTTTTATTGGATCATGCTTGTAAATGTTTCCACTTAGAGGAAAACGTTTGTGAAAAATGGAAATTTGAGGCAATATTAGGGAAATTTATCTTTGAATGTGGAAGCACTGACTAAACAAAATGGCGTCCGTTAGGAAAATTTAATAAAAAGTTTAAAAAAATGTTAAAACCGACCTACCCTACCTAAGTTTTTACAAGAAGAAATAGGAACCCACATTTTTTTTTGGCGTTATAAAGAGTAAACATTCGTGAATTCACTCGTGTGATTTTGTTTTAGTTACCTTGTAAAAAAGTACAATTTACTCCTGAATATTTCAATGCCACTTTGAAGGTCATGTTCTTTGACCCAAAACTTGCATAAAAACAATGGGAATTTAACATAAGTAAAATGCGATATATATACAAAATTATTCAAAAATTCTTTTATTAAATTACTAAACAAAAAAGTTATCAAAACATACTTTTGAGAAAACGAGATCTTCACAGCAAAAATCGCAATATATTTCAACAGTTTTTAGTCGAACAGCGCGACGAGAATAAATATCTTGAATAATAATGGGACGCACTGATTTGCGCGTTGCATTTCGGGAAGACCCTCATTCCTCCTCTGACCGTGGTCCAAAAGAGTTATTTTTGGCGACAAATCGAGGAGTGAGACAATTTGCAAACTCGAAACGCTACCCAGAAAATCGAAAAATCTACGCTATCGATACTAAAGATAGCAAAATACAGTGAATTTACTTCGTTGGACTTACTTCCAAGCCCGAAATGTACTTTTCTCCCACCAAAATGAAAAAAACAAAAACAAATATAAACATAGAAAAAACACTTGCCAGTGCTACATGTTTTGCTTCAAATGCTCCACATATATTCAGCTATATATTCTTTTCCTATTTTTGTTCCATCCCTGACTGTGACAGATATGTTATTGGGCCAAATTCCTATATGTTGCAGATATGTTACAGATACTTTAGTACATATATTTTGCAGATATTTTAGAGAACTGTGACATATCTGCCACATATCTGTTAGTTTGGTAAAGTTTAGGTAGATAGATCATTCAAACATCGAAGTTTGTGAATATTCTTTGCCATTAAATTCAATAAAAACTATTATCTAGGAATATGACAATAAACGACTTGACTGTATCACTGGTCATCAATTTGGTGAGTGTTCTACATTGTATCCATTATTGATAAACTTTAAATATTAACAGAAGTATACCGCAAATGCAATTTGATCCCATGGAAGCTTAGGCGAAACATTATTCAAATCTAGTTATTTTCGTAATAGATTGTTCCAAGTAGGTTCAATTTGTGCAGTTTACTATATTAATGTATCTGTGTATTTTCCTATTTTTAGAGTCTTACGTCTGGTGTTGGCTTTTACGAACTAAAAACAAAGGAAGCAATATCGAAAGACAGAAAAATTGTTCTTCAAATAAGCAAATCAGGCATGTACATTGTGTACACGTTAATAGTAGTACTAAAGTAATGCACAATGTGATCCAGATAGCTGATACATTACCAGAAATTTGATTCATTTTGCGCTATGGCGACAATGTTTGAGAAGGTGCAACGCACTGTTGTCTAACATAAGAGAGAGGAGAGTCTGTGACTTTGGGTTGAAATTCTAGGGAATTTCTTTCGAAATCCAGTAAAATATCAGACATTTTCTTCAAGAAATACAAGTTATTTTAATACAAATTTGATTTTGGCGCTATTCGGCTCATGAAAGAGTGTGCAAATTTTGTAAACAGCGGAAATAAGCGAGTTAAAAGGCTTGGTTGCTAAGCTAAAGTAAATATGGTGGCTGTAAGCTTCTCTGGAAAATAAAACGTGAATAATGGCCTTTTTCCCGGGCTGCATGAACGGGACATTTGCAAGCCCAGATAATGTTCAAAAATGCCATTTTTCAGTGCTATTTTGCGGCCTCCTGTTTTATTATGGAAGAATCTTTTCTAATGCATTAAAAAGATCGTAAAATGAAGAAACTTTTGAGCGGTCGGCATCGATAGAATGGCCAAGTACACGAACAGGTCAAAGCTTGGAAGTCAAGGTAGATGAAGGAATTTTGAGCAAATTATATACAAAATACAGCAAAAGCGTCGTGTTATTTTGGAATTATTTTGCGGCCCGAGGATTACACGAAATTGCGAAACTACTTTCGCTTTATCCCACTCTTGGACATTACTTATCAACAAGAGGTCCGCACTCAGAATTAAATTTATTAAAACTGCCAAAAAATCAGATTTTGTTTCAAATTCAATACATTTCTTAAAAGCTTTGGAAGCCATTTTGAAGCTTCAATTTCATTGGCATGCGGTATTTCATCATGTGAAATGAATCAGATTTCTGGTAATGAGCTAAAATACGGCAACGAAGACCATATATACATTTGTCATTAATGTATGACTTGTTTGATCTCGCCTCCTCGGCAGACATCTCGTGGAGGCATTTGTCTTTTTCCCCACATGCAACCAAGTTCTGCCTGCCAATCGAAACGCCATGCATGCACGCCTGCGTATGAGTCCATGTTTAATTCAGCCTAGTCCCAGGCTCTCTCTCTATTCGCTGCTTTGGTATATTTAAATAAGTCTTAGGAGTTTTATGCCTAGCAGATTTCGGTAAAATGGTCCCTGATTTCAAAAAAGTGGTCCCTGGCCTGGTTACCAAGCATACCGCGTTTGTAAATAGAAAGTGTTATGGAAATTTCCTTTGCGTTTATAATTAAGTAATTAATTTTGCTCTAATGCTGTCGGAACAATGAAATAGGCTACGTTTCGCTACCATACGGTCAGTATGGAATAACGGGGCTAAATATGACTCGTGTTTACTAAAATATGAAGCCATATTTTAAAAATGATATCTAGAAGCTTGAAAATTATGGCAATTATTTCCAATTTCCTCAGCTACTTAAATTAAACCTGTCAAGTAGAAAGCGTAGTTTTGTATACCAGTATGGTCCAGTGTTGATCACAACTTGCGAGTATATATATATATAAATAACATCAACGAATATACTACCATTGCTCAGACTCAGTATCGTAAATTTGTATATAATTTTTTTTAATTGAGTACATTTTTAATACAGTATGAATTTGATTATGTAGACATCGAACATGATCAACGAGCATTGTCGTATTTACAAGGTTATTTGTATATATAAATTTTCCGCCATATTAAAAATACTGAAATCTGCTAGGCGTTCTGAAGCACCTTTAGTGGTGACGTCACACCTAGGTTCCAGTCTCGTACTACATCCACGTTTTTTTCTCGCGCTTGCTTCAGAACGACTGGGACTAGGCTGTGTTTGATTGATTGTAGACTTGTCATTATTGGAGAGCGAGAAAGTGAAGAATTGTCAATATTAGACTCGGACGTAAACCAATACAATGTCGTTTTTTTCTGAACAGGATAATCTTAGTGAACAAAAATTTATAATATATGAAACTAAACAGAAATCACATCTTGTATAGTTGAATGATACGAAATTGACTAGCTTTGCACCCAGTTTTGCACCCAGTTTTGCACCCAGTTTTGCACCCAGTTTTGCACCCAGTTAACAAATTTGAAATATTTGGTAAATGCATATACCCTTATAAACCCCGTACAAATAATGCCATTTGATTTCCACACTCGTCTGAAATTGGTATACAACCACGAGTGCATCAGTGTAACTTTTTGCAGATGAACGATTTCGTTTCACAAGTTTTATGCGTGATTGTTTATGCAATACAACACTTAGTCGCAGGACGTAACAAAAGTGTCGTTGATTTGTTTTTGTTTAGGAGAGTTTGTGGACGACCTACCTGGCCCGGAAGAAAAATGTAAGTTAAAAACTTAAGACGCGTTCAACAAACTCGACAATCAGGGTTCGTAGTGGTCTTTGATATTCTTGAAAATCTTTAAATTTGAATGCAGGGGCCGGGTTGTATAAAAAACGTAGTTAAGCCTAGTTTCCATTAGGTCGTTAGCTGTCGTTACCTGTCTTTCGGGGTCCTTGGAGTAATCTTGAAAGACCGATAACGACCGAGTGAAACAGAAAACGACAGTGTCGCTGGCAGTCTTTTGACGGTCTTCTTAACGGCGCGAAAAACAAAATGGCGGCGCTTAACAGGGAGTTTCTTCTTCAATTAAATTTGTTTATACTCCTTGCGATAAGGCGACAACAAAGAAAAAGGAAAAAACACCGCTTCTGTGTCAGTGAAATTTTTCAGAAGCGAGAAGTGCTTGGTGCGTACTATAGACTAGTCCTAGAACTTCGTCTGCACGACAGAGAATACTTCTTCAGGTTCGTACTTTTATCTTTTACAATAATTTTCGATTTTCTAAGGTATTGTTTACGTAGTAAAAAATTCCATACTTATTTGGTGTAAATTTCAGATTCTTACGTATGTCACCGGACCGTTTTGACCGTCTGTTATCACCTGTTGGACCACTCATTGCGAAAAAGCACTGCAAATCACGTAAACCAATATCACCTTCCGAGCGTCTTGCAGTTACCTTACGCTATCTTGCCACGGGTGACTCCCAACAAAGTCACGTATTTTATTTCAGAATTGGGCGTTCTACTGTATCGAATATTGTGAAAGAAACTTGCAACGCTTTGTGGACCGCACTAAATCAGGATTACCTTAAATCACCAAGCACTGAAGAACAATGGACTAATATTGCTGATGAATTTGAAAGAGAATGGAACTTTCCGCATTGTATTGGTGCATTAGATGGGAAGCATTTCGCAATGGAATGCCCTCGTAATGCAGGATCAGCGTTCTTCAACTACAAAAACTTCCATAGTATTGTACTATTGGCGACGTGTGATGCTAAATATTGTTTTACCTTGATTGACATTGGGGCATATGGACGAGAAAATGACGCTGGAGTTCTGACAGATTCTGCCTTCGGTCAAGCTTTTGAATCTGATGCAGTACACCTAAATTTACCCCAGCCAGTCAAGGTTGGTACAAGGTGTCTACCTTATGTATTAGTTGGAGATGATATATTTCCTTTAAAAGAATGGTTAATGAAACCATACCCGGGCAAGAATTTAACTGAGCCAGAAAGAGTATTTAATTATAGATTATCCAGGGCACGAAGAACTATAGAGAATGCTTTTGGTATTCTGGCAGCAAAATGGCGTATTTTTCAAAGGCCAATACGAGGCAGTGTTAATTTAGTAGAGAACATTACCAGAGCCACAGTATGTCTGCATAACTATCTACAGTTACCAGATAATGCAGCCTACATTCCAGAGAAGTTTATTGATAGTGAAGACCCGGCTGGTAACATAGATCAGGGTGACTGGAGAGAAGTTGTGGAAAACGATGGAGGATTGGGAAGATTGGCAGGAAACAGATACAAGTTCAATGCTAGTAAAGCAAGAAATGATCTCAATGATTATTTTAATCAGGAAGGCCAAGTGCCTTGGCAATTATGTCATGTTCGAAGTTGTGGTAATGTTAACAGTTAACAAGCTTTTGTTCAAAACAATTAAGTAAGAAAGCAATTATCAATTGAGTGAAAACAGTCTTTATGTAGGGCTGTCTTATGTTTTACAAATGGATTAATCATGTCTAAGACAAGTGACGTAATGCACATAGCGTGTTTGAAAATTTTCATCACAAAGAATTATTAATTATATCATAATGTTGAATGATGCAATGTTTATTAAATCTTAATGAATACTCAAAAAAGAAAATAACAAATAGCAACACACAATCAGTGTAATTATGAATTTTTTAACTATGTAATGAACATTTAATATTGTAATATACACAATGTATAATAATTTACAAAAATTTACAATGTTATGAAATGTAACATAATAAATATAAATGTTAACAACATTTAACAATATATTACTAAGAATTTATATAACGTTAATAAGGGAAACTACATTTATTATGCCGAGGGGGGATGAAGATGTTAAGGGGGGGCTCTGAAATATTTTCTGGCATTAAAGGAGGGGCTCTGAAAGTTCTTGATATAATGAAGGGGGAGGGGGCTCTAAACTTTTCAAAGGTTTGACCCCAGCAAATTAAAGTTAAAATTTTTACATTTTCAGGTAAAATTTGCGTAATAAAGTAATTATTTTTGTGAAATGATAACCATTTTTGTGAAATACAGTCAATTTACATGCAATTTGTTTGCGAAATTTGCTTTAGAAAACGCCAGAAATTCAGTCCTAGAGCTTCGAAAATGTAAAAATTTTCTGGGGGAGGACCCCCAGACCCCCCTTTTCTCCCAAAACTTAGTATAAGAGTGCCAATCAATCACAAAAAGCTTTATTATAATTATTACACGTATAATCCTCTGTCATCCCACCCCCCCACTCCAAACGTCAGATGCTTTGCTACGTCCCTGATGGTTGTATTCAAAACCGATTTCAGTTTTAAGATATCCTTAGTCTGCTCTTCTAAATGGATACATGAAATCACCTATAGCTTATTTTAATTTTTTTTGCGCCAGGTTTGTGAAGTAATTTACGCGCCAAAAAGCAAAAAAGCATATACAATTTGTAAGAATGATATGTTCTATGTTTATGGGATATTTTGTACAAACGGGATGGAAATTAAAGAAATTGAAGCATACTGGCACTTTTGCATGCATTTTTGACAGGCATGCGAAGACATTTGCAACAGATACCGGGAGATACGTTGGGTGGGGGCGACATACTGTAAGATTCCAGCACATTACCCTGATCCAGGAAATCCTGGCCACTACATGAACGTGTTCAAGACTCCGAATACGCTGAATAATGGACAACAACAACCTGTTGATAATTTCACCCCTAGAGCCAATTTAAAATGTTTTAAAGATGTCATTTCATCTGGCGCTAGTGAGGTGAAAGAAGCAGCAGATCGGTAGTTTTGTTGAGGAGAAGCACATGCTTGAGTATATAAGACATCTTGAGGAACTGCAAATTTTATCTATGATAAGAGAGAATTCCGGATTGTACTCCTTCAATTCCGAATTCTAGAGGGAGGGGGGAGGGGGGAATTGAAAATTTTAAAAACTTGGAGGGGGGCATCGAAATTTACCGATAACCTCAACAGGGGCCCTGTAAAAATATTAGCTTTTTTCAAGACATCTTCATCTCCCTCTCTCGGTGTAATAAATGTACTTTCCCTAAATATTGTCAAAACAAAACAAGAGGCCTAATTGCATTGCACAACAACAGAAATAATGTCCTGTAGCTATTTGTACATAGCTTGGCACTTATTGTTCAGTATTTTTTTCTTGGGATGTTTTATTTTTTTCTTGGGATGTTTTATCTTCATGTGTGATAAAATGAAATGTAGATTGACTGTTTTTACTCCCAATCCTTGGTTGTTGTTGTTGTTCTTGTAAGCTAGAACATTCAACTTGGTAAAATATTTGTTCAATTTCAAGTCTTACCAATCCTCTATGTAGACGGAGTATTCTCCTAAGCCTTGGTATCAAACTGCGACAAAACAATGTTTCCTCATCATCTTCCCCAATAGCATTGTTGCTGTGAAATTTAGCAGGGCTATGCTCATCTTTACTTTCTTTTAAATGGTTGTCAATTGACTTTGCAGCATTGTAAAGCACTTTGTCCATTTCCACGTTTGTTGGCGCTTTGTTTGCTTCATTCCAAGCTCTCTTTCTCTTTATACTAGCTTTATTTTTGTTGGATTTAGGTACAAAGTCAGCATCAGTCTTATCACCAATAGTTATGTCATCATCAGTTTCACAAATCATATCATGCAATGTCTGTACGTCACTTTCATCAATTAAATCATGCATACCCTCAATCGAATATGTCTCTTCAGTTATCGAGTGCTCTTCGTCGCTATTCAAACCACTAGAAGTATTGTTTGCACCGCTTGTATTAGACTCAGAGTCGGCTTTTGCAAGTACATCTACGTTCGTAACTTTTTGCCGCTTCGCTTCGTGTAGGTTTGTTTTTGACGAGCGATGATCGATATATGGTCTTAACCACTCCATTCCTTTGTAGGTTTCGTGTTTTGGTAGATCATCTCTGCCTGATCCCGACGGCATGTTCTTAATTTTTCGCAGAAATATTGTGTAGGACGAACGTAGGTTCTTAAACCTTTTCTCTGCTTCTTCTGGATTCAAACCAAATCTAGCAGCTACTTTTGTCCAACAGTTAATTTTTTTGTATTTATCACGAAACTCCTTGCTGAATTGTTAAAAAGGCATTCGTATTTTTGTACTTCCATAAACGTTTCGTCCGAATAGTGAATAACCCCATCTGTATCTGCCATTTTGAATTGGGAACAAACAGCATTATGGGAAGAATCGTGTCGTTTCCTGTCGTTTTATGTCGTTGAGATAGGATTTGTTCTATCCCAGCGACACTGTCGTTTTCTGTTTCACTCGGTCGTTATCGGTCTTTCAAGATTACTCCAAGGACCCCGAAAGACAGGTAACGACAGCTAACGACCTAATGGAAACTAGGCTTTAGCGCTAACTGCAGTTAGCGTTAACTACCGTAGTTAAATCCTTAACTGTAGTTAATTAACTACATGACTTAGGCTAAGGGACCGGTCATAAAGTAACTGCTAGGGTGGGCCTGAGTGATTTGGGATGGGCCATGGAAAATCTTTGGGCAGTTTCGATAGGCCGCCAATTTTTTTGTATGTGCACGGTTGGGCCACCAAACAAAAACCCATATCTACTTTCATCGCTTATTATGATAAATATAATAGCAAATAAGATTTTAAAGTCAAACGTAATACAAATCTAACAGGGCTGTACATTGCACGGAGGGCAGCAAGGGCAACTCCCCCCCTCCCGCCGAGAAAATTTAATTTTATAATGTGATTATGCTTGTAAGGGATAATTATGCAGTCAGGAAATAAAAAAAATCATGCAAACAATATTCGAAATGTCTATACAATCGGCTATTTAGTGAACTGTCACTTGTCAATCCATACTCATCGAATTTTCATAACTTTATTGTAATCATATGAAGAAAAAGTTCTGTCACTTGTTGTTTACATTTGTTGAGCAACGTACACAAACTAATCGAGGAACATGCATTACTGTAGCAAAGAGTCAATCATATATCGAAGACCACTGAATAGTAGAGAATGTTTTGAAGGTCATGAGTGAAGTATATAATTCAATTCCAATCCTGTGCACAGTTAATGATATTATACCACACTGTTCGGTTTAACTCAGCATATCCACACAAAAACAATTTAAAATGTGTTGTGGGAGAATATCTGTTTGAGTAGAAGGTATCACAAGTTTAGTTTTGTACATTGTGTGCCATTGATTTGATCCATCCATATAATATATGATTATTGTAGCTGTTAAGTTATTTTCCACACAAATGAATTTAGATAAGATTGTCTTGCAAGTGGGTTGTTCTGACAAAATTATCCAACCAATATCCAGTACATCAGTACATGTATTCATCATTCTTGTATTAATCTCTAAACAAAAACATTTATATTAGAAAGCAAAATGACGATGTAATGAGGAGGGAGGGTGGGGATTCTTTTATTAGCATTTGAAAATGGTTGTAACAATTTTGTTTAATTAACTCTAATGTGTAAAACTAAAATGTATAAGTATAATTTTAACTGATGACATCTTTACCTTTGCTCTAACACTACATTTGATGACAACTTAGTTGGACTGTTGTTTTGAACAGAGTTACAGAAATACAGGACCAGGATTTAATTCAATATCTTCTGAGAACATTAGTTTCTTGTGATATTGTTAATTGGCAATATAATGCCTGCAGCCAGAGTTTTGACTGTTTAAAATATTACACAATGATTGTTTTTATACTGTATAAATGTATATAATATAATATGTGGTATTTGACTACTTACCAGATGAGGATAAGTTTCCATGTTGATGGATAACTTTGGAATAATATCACAAGTATAATGGTGAAAACAAGACAGCTAATTCAAACTACGCCTGTTCGCAGGTTATGTGCGAGCACGATGTAAGGGGCCGACCATTTAACTTTTGAGGGGGGAGGGGTGATTTACTGCTGGCAGGGAATTTTTTTCTGGGATCGTCATGTGCAAGATTTTTCTCCTATCCCATCGCCATGTTCGTTTTTTTTCCACTCTCTCTTTGGCAGCATTTTTTTCAATACCTTATTCTATTTAAATTCTTTAATTATAGTTAACGTTGAGTTTTTAGCTTCATGCATTGCTTTTTATTATACATATTGCTATGAGGTATAACATTTGGTTCAGGGCTTCTTTTAAGGATGTGTAACTGGAGAGGACATATTTTTCGGAGGAGCTGGAGAAGTTCCAGTAGGCAAGTCTGTATCACTGCAGCTACCTGCAGCATATATATGCATGGTTTAACTAATAAGTATTCGTCATAGGGCAGCAGATCATGCCATAACTAGGATTCTGAGACAACCGAGTCGACCACCGAAGGTGCGAGCCTCTAGAGGGGTTTGGGGAAAAAAAGAAAATTTTGAATTTCTTGAAGCTCAGATAAGCTATTTCCACCATTTTGAGCAGTTTTCCAACAAGAAATTAACCTTACACTAGTCCATGAAAATCAAACCGCTGATCTTCTGGGACTGGTCAAATCGATCCCTGCAACCATGTTGTTTTACAACATTTTTTTCCCCAACCAAATTCTGGGGCAGGATATTTTCCCCCCAGTTTGTTAGTGCAGGTATGTTTTTTTGTTCAGTATAGCCTTGCAGGAAATTTTTTTTCAAAATCACCCCGCCCCCCTCAAAAGTTAAATGGTCGGCCCCTTAACAATTGATGTACGTAAGCTAATCGCTGATTGGCTTAATTATATAAGCTCGTCGCTGAATGGCTATGGGTAACGTTAACAGTTATCTGCTTCGCATGCAGATACAAAAATAAAGATATACACCGGCACTGTATTGACATATGTTCATACCTGCAAGTTTTTTTTTCATTATAAAAGTGTATTTTCCCAATTTAGATTGGGTGGGTGGATCATGAAATAAATTTGGTAAGATTGGATGGGCTTTGAAATTTTTATCTACATCCTAAGATGGGTCACCAAACTTATTGGCAAAATTTGAGATTTACCTCTAGCCCACCCTAGCAGTTACTTTATGACCAGTCCCTAACTGCGTTGCACAAAACGTAGTTAGTCGGATAGTTAACTAATCACGTAGTTAACTCTTCGTGGGGCGTTTAAACACAAAATTACATAAGGGAAGCAGTGATTAACGGCCGCTGACACGCATTTTTAACATGATTGTGGACTCGTATTTTGCACATAGGCGGGAATCTTGTTCAGAACAGTGAAAAGTAATCAAGAAAACAAGGAAAACCGGCTAAACCGCCGCAGAAATCATAATGAAGGCAGTTTTCCGTTGGATATCTTCGTTAAATCAAGCTGTATAGCTGTTTGGCAATATATAGTTACTATTTAGAGTAGTATCGCCTGAAGATCGCTTTGAAAGCGTGAAACACTGTGTAGCGATTAATAAAATTTTAAGATTATAATTAGTATATTTTGCTCTATCAATTAAATTTGTTATTGAGCACTCTTTTTGTACAACG